GAAGGTACTATAATGCAAGATTCATATTAAAAGTCCATATCCTTGAAGAAAACAGATAAAGAGACTTCTAGAATTCCAAAATGGTTCCATTTTTGCCTGCCACTTTTGCCAATGCAGTGGCAATGCAGACTGAAAGAGACATTTCCTTAATTTCCCCTTTCCTCCCCCATCTCATTTTTATGTCCAAGTCAACCCTGGGAGGGTGCTTGGGGATAGTGATGGGGTCAGATCAAGGAAGGGAAGGAACTGAAATGTCTGCCTAGTCCTCATTTTAGATATTACACCTATTAATGGAAAACCATTTTATTTTCAGCCTATTATTTCCATCAAGTTAGACCAATTCTCCCATGTCCCCAAACCAAGCTAAAATGGGGTTGAGTAGCTTGAGATTTAGCATGGTGTGGGAGTTTGGCTATGTATTAAGCTGTACAGGTAGTCCTCGATTTACGACGGGTCGCATAGCTTAGAAAGTGTGCAGAGAAAGAGCAACAAAGATGATTAAAAGGTCTGGAGGGCAAAATCGCATCATGAAAGGTTTAAGGAGCGATGTCAGTGGTGGGATTCAACCGGTTTGCATCACTTCGGCCAAACAGGTTGTTAAATGGCTGGCTGGCCCCTCCCCTCCCCACCCCGCCCCTTCCAGATGCCCCGTTTTTGCTTCCAGGAGGCTGCAGGGAGGCCTGTTAGGCCCAAAACTGGGTGCGGGGGGGCCCCTGGGCCTCCCCACACCCCGTTTTTGCTCCCAAGGGGGTGCAGGAGGCCAAATGCTGCCTATCACACTCCCTGGCCACACCCACCATGGCCACGCCCACCCAGCCAGTCATTAGGGCTGTTAAATTATTTGAATCCTACCACTGAGCTAGGGACCTCTGGCCTTTCCAAGAAAAAGATTAGGGGTGACACAATGGCTATCTTCCAATACTTGAGGGGGCTGTCGCAGGGAAGAGGGGATTCGTTCTCCAAAGCAGTGGTCCCCAGCCTTTTTTGTACCAGGGACCAGTTTCACGATTATTCATTCTTTGCGGCCTGGTACAAAATGATCCACGGACTGGTACCGGCATCAGAACGCACAACCAAGGCAAGGCGAGCCGAGCGACCGGCCAGCCAGCCGTCCCCCACTTCTCCCCGCCACCTTCAACTCCTCCTTTGTACCTTCTCGCGGTCGATGGGCTTTTCGGGCTTTTTCTTAATCTCCTCCTGAGTAACGCGAGACTCCACCACCATTGGGACGGCTCTTCGTTCGAAGCCACCACCACCCCCTTCGACGAAACTAAGGCGCGAGGATTCCTTCAGCACCCAACACCGCTTTCCAACCGATGACCGACAAGCTCACCCGGAAGCACTTTCTCAAGCGCCGTCGAAACAAGATGGCGGCGCCCAAGCAAAGTAGACCCTACTTTCATTCTTTGCAGCCCGGTACAAAATGATCCACGGACTGGTACCGGTCCGGGGCCCGGTGGTTGGGGACCCCTGCTCCAAAGCACCAAAGGCAGGACTAGAAGGGATGGGTGAAAGCTTGTGAAGGAGAGATCCAATCGAGAACTAAGGAGAAATTTCGTGACAGTGAGAACAATTAATCAATCGAACTGCTCGCCTCTCGGAGTGGTGGGTACTCCATCACTGGAGGTTTTCAACAATAGACTGGACAGCCATTTGACCAGGATGGTGTAAGGTCTTCTGTCCTGAGTAAAGAGTTGGACTGAAAGACCTTTGAGCTCGCTATGGTTTTGTTTCTGAAAGCCAAAAAAACCCACCAGTATTTGGCAAACCATGGTTTCGTGTGACCACAGGACGCTGAAAATGGCCACAAATGCAGGAAGGTTGCTGAGCTCCTCATATGACCTGGCTGGTTGGTTGGACCTGGCTGTCAGAACTTTGAGTTCAGGCCAGGGGTGGGTATTCAGCAGGTTCTGACCAGTTCTGGAGAACCGGTAGTGGAAATTTTGAGTAGTTCAGAGAACCAGCAAATCCCACCTCTGACTGGAGATTTTACAGTATCCTTCCCCTGCTACGCCCACCAAGCTACACCCACAGAACCGGTAGTAAAAAAAAACTTGAATCCCACTACTGATTCAGGCGATAAGTAGCCCCCATATAGGTAGGTCCATCATAACTTCAAATGGTCACTAAGGGACTGGTCCATGGTTGGGCTTCAAAAATTTTAGCAACCAATTCTCCAGGAGTGGGATTCAATTTTTTTAACAACCGGTTCTGTGGACGTGGCTTAGTCAGTGGGTGTGGCTTGGTGGTCAGGTTATTGGCTGGGCGTGGCCAACTCAGTATCTCTCACATTGAAGCACCATCTCCTCGCCTGGCCACTCATGACTGTGGGGATGCTACAACAGTCATAAGTGTGAAAAAGGGTCATAAGTCACTTTTTTCAGTGCCATTGTAACTTTGAATGGTCACTCCACACAAGCAAAGTACAGGCAAAGGAGGGGGGAAAAACTCCAGAGACGTTCCTGAGACAGGAAGACTAGTCCTGCCAAGAATGTAATAAGGGTTAACGGAGAGGCAGTTTCTGTAAACAACACCAGAATGTTTCCTTCCTGCCTTCCTTACAGGATTAGGCCAGTAATTTCTTCTAACAACCGGTTCTCTGGACTGCTTAGAATGTTAACAACTGGTTCTAGCAAATAGGTGCGAACTGGTAGAATCCCACCCCTGCAGTTCTCTGCCCAGTTTCTGTGTGGGTGTGGCCATGGTGGGCATGACCTAGTCAGCCTCCTGCATCATGACGGAAGGGGATATTTTCTCCCTCCTCAGGCTCTGGAGGCTCTCTTTGAGTCTCCGGGAGGGCCAAAATGGCCTCCCCAGGCTCCAGAGGCTCTCTGGAGGTCGGAAACGGGCCTGTTTTTGCCCTCCCTGCGTCTCCACGCAGGCCCTGTACTTACCTGGGATCCAAAACAGGCCACATGGGGACTGAGGGGGGGGGGAGGGGAGGGGTGGGCGGGGCCAGCCAGGGGTGGGATTTGCCAGTTCACCGAACCAATCATAAAATTAGCTACCAGTTCGGTTCCGGTTCTCCTGAACCGGGGCGAACCAGTATCAGCCCATCGCTGGACTGGTCGTAAGTCACAGACTACCTGTAGATAGCCTCCCCCCCACCTGGAGGAAGTGATATGTTTCTCATTCTCTCTTATTGTCCGGCTCACTTGTCACAATACGTAGCTAAATCTGTGGTTAACATTTGCCTGTGGAGCAGCAGCTTTTGGCTGATTGAATGCTTTTTGTGTTGCTTTTTAGTGTGTGTGTGTGCGTGTCCGTGCGTGTATACATGTATATACTTATTTATTTAGTTATTGGCACTGCCAGCAATCTACAGGGCATGTTATTACTTCGACAGTATGTTTTTTACATCAGGTTAATCGACAGAAGAAGAAGTGTCGGACGACAGAATGAGCAACAGAATGTGGCCACAAAATTAATAATTATAGTAATTAGGAAGAAAAGTAATAAATGGAATAAAATAATGGGGGAAAGCGTGGAAAGTGTTGTTAAACAGCTCCAAAAAATGTGACCGTGTTGCCTATTTATTATATAAAGTATAACAATTACAACTAACAGCCAATCAAACTTTAGTAGAATGGAGATGCGAAGGTCGTTATCCGTTCTGTTTATTATTGTTATCCTTATTTTGTCAAAATAAAGGATAACTCTCCAACGGCTGACAACCAATACATATTGCCACAGATCAAATGTAGATTTTTTTTTTTCTTCTTCCAAAATTGGATAATAATTAGTTTAACCCGCACTCATTCATTCGCCTTAAGGCTGAATTTGTGTTATTCCCACATTTGAAGCTGAAATGAGCAGCATTAGCAGTGCGATTTTGCAGTCTGTTCCTGCAGGGGAATGATGCATACGTTGTTGGCTACATCCCTCATACAGATAGTCCTTGACTTATAACAGTTCGTTTAGTGACCATTCGAATTACAACCGCACTGAAAAAAGTGACTTACGAGCGTTTTTCACGCTTATGGCCCTTGCAGCATCCTCAGGGTCACATGATCAAAATTTAGACCCTTGGCAACTGGCATGTACTTAGGATGGTTGCAGTGTCAGGTGATCCCCTTTTGCGACCTTTTGATGAGCAAATTCTCAATGGGGAAGCCAGATTCACTTAACGACGACAGAGATTGACTTGAGAAGTGTGACAAGAAAGGTCATAAAATGGGGGCAGAATTCACTTTAACAAATGTCTCGCTTAGCAATCGAAATTCTGGGCACAATTGTGAGCGTAAGTCGAGGACTTACCTGTATCTAGCACAAAGTCATTAGAAATGACTTTTCGGGGGAGTGGGAGAGGCTTAACTTTAACACACACTCTTCGGTTTGAAAATGAAACGAAATACCAAAAAAAAAAAAAATACTACTGGGTTGTTTAAGTTCTGTTATAAGGGAGGAGAGAAGGAAACTGCATTCCATAAGGTCAGGGTGGGCAGTGACGTCCCTTTTAGATTTAAGCATTGTTGGTGTGAGAGTTTTGGAACAGATGAAGAATTAGCAGCCCAGCTGGAAGGAAGGAAGGAAGAAAGAATTAACTCAGAGCAGGATTGGCTCCTAGGCATATAGACAGATACCTAGGAGTGAAAGAAATGGCCAAGATTTCTTGGATATTCCTTTTCAGTTTGGTCTGCAACAGCTGCAGTAAGTCCGATTGCATGTGTGTCTGTGTGCCTAGCCATATATAATATTTATAAAACTCTTCCCCACATTTCAATTCATAAAAAGCATCCGTGCATATATGCCTATAAGCTAATCTGAATTTAGTTGTAGGGAGACACCGGGAGGAGACTCAAAAAAACAGAATTGCACAATTGTGAACTTGGGGAAATTGATTGCCATTGGATATGCAAAGTCGTTTTATCCTAGATTGCATTTGGAAAACTGGACCGAAAAAGCGATGAGGGGGGGTCTATTTGCTGCATTGATTGAGTGCTGCTTTTATTTTGTTCAGCCTTTCTTGCTTCAAGTTCAGGAACGGAACCGGGGAAATTTTAGATTGGCTTTGCCCAATATACTTAACTTGATTACGTCTGTGGAGATTCTCAGCCGTCCAGGTTGTCCCAAAGGTGCTTTTCCAACAGGCAACTGGACTTTCTGTTTTTTTTTTTTCTTTGAAGCAAAACGTCTTCAAAGATAATACCAGAAAAGTCCAGTTGCCTCACCTTTGGGTTAACTTGATTATAGAATAAATCCATCTTCTGGGTCTTCATAATAGTTCATGAAAGCGTCAATTAATTCTTCCAAGGACCAATTTCGCTGTGACTTCAGATCTGGCCTTGGGAACAACGGAGAATCAGTCTATACTTTTGGCATAGCAGATAACAGAGTTGGAGGAGATTTTGGGGGAGTGGGATCTTCTAGTTTCTTCTTAAAAGCCTCCACTGATGAAGCACCCACGACTTCTCGAGGCAAGCTGTTCCACTGGTTAATTGTCCTCACTGTTAGTAAGTTTCTCCTTCGTTCTTGGTTGGTTGTTTCTTTGATAAGTTTCCATCCATTGTTTCTAGTCCTGCCTTCAGGTGTTTTGGAGAATAGCTTGACCCTCTCTTCTTTGTGGCTGCCCTTCAAATACTGTTAGTCCTTGTTTTAATTAGACTCAAGTACCCCAATTATTACAACAGTTCTTCATATATCTTCATGGAACGACCTGCCTCCAGAAGCTGTGAATGCTCCAACACTGGAGTTTTTAAAGAAGAGATTGGGCAGCTGTTTGTCTGAAGTGGTATATAGGGTTTCCTGCCTGAGGACGGGGTTGGACTGGAAGATCTCCCAGGTCCCTTCCAACTCTGTTATTCCATGCACATACTTCAAGACAGAATAGGCAATAGGAAGGATGAGTAGTAATACACTTAGTAAATAGTTTGACAGTGTTGTGGGAGTGCAGCGTGACAGCATGTGAGGGGGAAAACTGTCCTTGTGTCTAGTTGTTCTGGTGTGCAGTGGTCTGTAACGTCGTTTTGATGGCAGAAGTTGAAACAATATATGCTCAGGGTATGAGGGGTCTGTAGATATTTTCACAGCTCTCTTTTTGACTGGTGCAGTACACAGGTTCTCAATGGAAGGCAGCTTGATAGCAAAAAATAAAATAAAATAAAAATTTCTGCAGTTGCAGTCAAGTTGCAGTCCAGCAGAGCCAGGGAAAACATCTTGGTGCCGAGCGCTTAGGAAGTTGTTCATTTGCCCCCAAACAGGTGTTCCAATTTCTAAGCCCACCATCCAGCCTTTGAAGCCACTGGTGGAACGTGGAGGCACCATTCAGCTGATCTGTTCCATGGACTGTACGGAAGCTGAAGTGCAGTGGGAAGGCTTGGACACTGACTTGGGAAACATCGTTTCAAACCACACGCGGAGCATCCTAACGCTGAGCAATGCAACCATTAACATGGAGGGGACAAAGATGTGCTCAGGATGGTGCCAAGAGACGTCCTATCTGGCCACGGTGGAGCTGAATGTATATTGTGAGTTCAAAAAGCATCTGCTTGGTTGGTTCTCTTGAATCTATTTCCGGGGCAGGAAGGGAAGGGAAGGCAGAAAAGAGAGAAGAGTGGAAAGGGAGGTCTGGGAGAATTAATATGTTTGGATAGTTAACAGGAATAATAGATCATATATAATGTAAATATGAATGTTGTTTGTATATATATATATATATATATATATATAGAGAGAGAGA